AGCTCTAGTGACTCATCTTATGTACCCTGGGACGGAGAGCACATGACGCATATGGGCCTTCATGGCCCTGGTCTGCTGACTTGGCACGCACCAGCAAACGGGTGGGCTTCCCCGATAGGTTCAGTGCCAGAAGTTGCCCCATCAAGGTGTATTTAGGCAAAAATTTCAGCATGTGAAAATGACGTGGTTGAAAATGCCTCAAGATGGTTTTGCCACTTTGGAAAAAGCTGCTGGAAGAAGCGCACACCCGAAAGCATTTCTCCGATGGAAACTGGGACGCTTGTCTGGTGTTCTTGGAATGCTTCCTTCTTACATGTTGTTGCAGCCCTTTTTTTGATTAAAAAATCTTTGGTTTCCTTCCAGCTACACGCAAGAAGCTCTTTGAACTTGCCAGGGCTTTCTCAGAGAAGACCAAGATGAGGAAGTCAAAAAGAAAACAGTTGCTGAAACATCAGGCGTATCCTTCCACGTGTGGCCTCATGATCCTGTTAGGAGTGTGCGGAACCTTCCTCCTCTCAGTCTCTGGCACGGAGATCTCGCCCGGGCAAGAGCACAGTTCCCGGCACTTCCAGTCCCAACAGTCCAGGTGTGCGAGGACCCTCAGCCTGTGCCGGCCTGCGCTCAGCTGACCGCGATATCAGTCGTGTCACACGGTCCACACGGCTGCCTCCCTGCACTTGTTTGCTGTCCATTTAGCCATTTGTGCCACTTTTCTCCCCAGTGGAGACCAACAGTGGCTCCCCAACCCCCCCCCCAGAAAAATTTAAATTTAAACAAATAAAATAGAGGAGACAAAAACGTAAAACAGGAACTCCAGGACTGGTCCTGGTCTGCTGGACAGCCGGCTCCTGGCAACAGGGTGCGATCCAAGGGCGGTCAGCCATTCTGCTCACGCCGCAAGGGTTGTGCCTCTCATCAAGCCCGAGTATTAAATACCGGCAAGCAAGGAGGGACTTGAAACTGAGTGTGGATGTTATGCTGCTGGTGGAGAGAGGCTCCCAGACTTCCCCTCCCAGCTAGTGTGTTCCTCAGGGATAATGGCACCTTACTTTCCTTCAGACACTTCTCTGCCTTCCAGGGCCTGCCCGTGGGCAACATCAGCTCCACAGCTAAACAAGGATTTGAACTCGGGACTCCTTTTTTCCTTCCCAATGCACTGCCTTGGGTAGGGTTGCCTAGTCCTACCGTAGCTGCAGCGGGGGGAGTCCTGACCCTCTCCAGGAGCATCGGGCACCATAGAGTTTTCCCTTAAATGATAGAGCATCCCCCTGCAACGTGCCCGACGCGATGACGTCATCACGCCAGGCACGTCTCCGCAATCCTGGCACTTTGGGGGTGGGGTTCCCCCCGGCAGCCCAATCCGGGCCAGCGGGTAATGGACCCATAGAGCGGGGGCTCCCCCGCCCCCCTGGGGAACCTGGCAACCCTAGCCTTGGGTCGGTCACCATTCTGTCAGAGGTGTTCTCTCAAGGGCAGTTCGAGAGAGAGCTCTCTCAGCCCCACTGACCTCACAGGGAGTCTGTTGTGGGGAGGGGAAGGGAAGGGAGATTGTAAGCCGCTCTGAGACTCCTTCAGGTAATGAAGGGTGGGGTATAAATCCAGTCTCCTCTTCCTCCTCCTCCTTCTCTCCTTCCTGCTCTCCTCCTCCTCCTCCATCTCCTTTCAGCATAACCTACCTCACAGGGTTGTAGTGAGGATTAAATGGAAGGAAAGAGAACAACAGAAGCTACTTTGGGTCCCCACTGGGGAAACAGGCAGAATATAAATGAATTAAGTAAATTAAATTAAATTAATTTTAATCTCCCAAAATATGGGAACTCATGGGCATCAAATGAAGTGGATGGGCAGTAGGTCGAGGATGGGCAAAAGGAAATTCTTCTTTACACAGAGAGAGATTAAAATGTGGAATTCACTGCCAGTGGATGTAGTGATGGCCACAAGCACAGACAGCTTTAAAGGGGGGCTAGACAGATTCATGGAGGAGAGGTCTGTCAACCTCTGAATCCCAGAGCCAGGAGGCAACATCAGGGGAAGCTCCCGGCCTCCCTGCCCTGTTGTTGGCCATCCAGAGGAACTGGCAGGCCCCTGTGTGAGACAGGATGCTGGACTAGATGGACCCTTACTGGTCTGATCCAGCAGGGCTCTTCTGAGGTTCCTGGCTGTGCTCCTGCAGAGTGCAGGGGGTTGGACTAGATGACCTGCAAGATCCCTTCCAACTCTAACATTCTATGATTCTAAGTATCTGTACCCAAGGAGCTTCTAATCAAAACTCTGTCTTTGTGTTTAACATGAGAATCTTTCCAGTGCAAGCAGTTTCCATCTTGGTGGCCCGGTCCTCCGGAGAACCTGCTGAGTCCAACAGCGCTGTTCTTCAGAGAAGTCTTGCTTGTTTCAGCCTTCATCTTAGCAGAGCATAACTCACCTCAGGGCTGCAGGCACATTGCTCACTGTCAGCCGCCGTAACTTCCAAGCAGCCCCACGGTTGCCGTGGGATATGCCACAAAAATACTGTGGAATTTGACTCATTTGCTGCAGGGAACACTTAAAAGGTGAAGGGGCGATGGGCCTGTCCCAGCAAGCAGTGAGTCCCAGGTGTGGTTGCGTACTGTTGTTTATTTAACATATTTATACCCCACCTTGTGTCTGTAAACTCCAGGTGGTCAAGGGTCAGTGCAACAGCAAGAGCTGCAAGTAGGCAGACATTGTAAGCGTTCAGTTGGTGACAGTCAAGGCCCAAATTAAAAGAGGCCGTTCCAGCCCAGCACAATCCCCCCTCCACAAAAGGCGCTCTGGAGCAAGACAGTCTCGCACCCCTTCCTTGGAATAAAAGATTTTTATTTTCCATTTATCATACAATATCCATCTTTTTCTCACTCGGTCAAAAATCCAATTTTCCCTCCCTCCCCCAAAAGGCTTCCCGCAATGCGTCTCCCTTATGTCACATATAATCAATAAGTTCGAGATAACATCATGTACTTAATATTGTTCTAGATATAGTAAATTATGTTTCACGTCCCAGTTCTTTTCTAAGTATGTTTTAAAGTCACTCCATTCTTCAAAAAATTCCTGGTCTTCTTCATTATTCAGTTTTCTAGTTATTTTGTCCATTTCGGCCATGAACAGAACTTTTTGTATCCATTCTTCTAAGTCTGGTATTTTTTCCTGCTTCCAATATTGAGCATATACCATTCTTGCTGCTGTTATCAAATACCAGAACAATGTCCTTTTTGTTACATTTAGTTCTTCCATTTTTAAACCTAAGAGCAGAATTTCAGGTGCTTTCTTAAAAGAACATTTTAAAATTTTTTGCATTTCACAGTGGACTTTTGTTCAAAAGTCCATAGCTTTTTCGCATGTCCACCACATGTGGTAAAATGAGCCCTCATGTTTTTTACACTTCCAACATTTACTAGACATATTCTGATTCATATTAGCGATTTTCTTAGGTGTCATGTACCATCTATACATCATTTTATAACAGTTTTCT